ATCTTTTTATTTTTTTATTCTTATGTTAATCCCCATACATTACATCATTAGTTTTAGATGTAGTGTTCCATGATTCATTGTTTGTGCATAACACCCAGTGCTCCATGCAGAATGTGCCCTCCTCAATACCCACCACCAGGCTAACCCATCCTCCCACCCCCCTCCCCTCTAGAACCCTCAGTTTGTTTTTCAGAGTCCATCATCTCTCGTGGTTCGTCTACCCCTCCGATTTCCCGCGCTTCATTCTTCTCCTCCTGCTACCTTCTTCTTCTTCTTTTTTTTCTTAACATATATTGCATTATTTGTTTCAGAGGTACAGATCTGAGATTCAACAGTCTTACACAATTCACAGTGCTCACCATAGCACATACCCTCCCCAATGTCTCTCACCCAGCCGCCCCATCCCTCCCACCCCACCCCCCACTCCAAAGACAACCGACAGAATGGGAGAAGATATTTGCAAATGACATATCAGATAAAGGGCTAGTATCCAAAATCTATAAAGAACTCATCCAACTCAACACCCAAAGAACAAATAATCCAATCAAGAAATGGGCAGAAGACATGAACAGACATTTTTCCAAAGAAGACATCCAAATGGCCAACAGACACATGAAAAAGTGCTCAATATCGCTCAGCATCAGGGAAATCCAAATCAAAACCTCAATGAGATACCACCTCACACCAGTCAGAATGGCTAAAATTAACAAGTCAGGAAACGACAGATGTTGGCGGGGATGCGGAGAAAGGGGAACCCTCCTACACTGTTGGTGGGAATGCAAGCTGGTGCAGCCACTCTGGAAAACTGTATGGAGGTTCCTCAAAAAGTTGAAAATAGAGCTACCATATGATCCAGCAATTGCACTACTGGGTATTTACCCCAAAGATACAAAAGTAGGGATCCAAAAGGGTACGTGCACCCCGATGTTTATAGCAGCAATGTCCACAATAGCCAAACTGTGGAAAGAGCCAAGATGTCCATCGACAGATGAATGGATAAAGAAGATGTGGTATATATACACAATGGAATATTATGCAGCCATCAAAAGGAATGAGATCTTACCATTTGCAATGACGTGGATGGAACTGGAGGGTATTATGTTGAGCGAAATAAGTCAAACAGAGAAAGACATGTATCATATGATCTCACTGATATGAGGAATTCTTAATCATTGGGACTTTTATGGGCCAGCATATGATCTACCTTTTGACAAATGCATCATCTACACTTGAAAATAATGTGTATTCTTCAGTTACTGGATGTAGTAGTACACAGGTATTAATTAGACCCCTGAGGTTGGTGATGGTGTGTAGATCCCCTGTGTCTTACTGATACTTTGTCTAGTTCTATCAGTTGTTGAGAGGCAGTAAAACCCATTCTGATTGTGAACTTGTCCATTTCTCCATTTAACTCAGCCAATTTTTGCCTCATGTACTTTCAAGTTCTGTTATTATGTGTGTACAAATTTATAATTGTTAATTTAAGTTTCTCTTATGAAACATTCATCTTTGTCTCTGGTCATACTTTTTTTTCAAGTCTCTTGTCTGATACTAAAGTAGCCACTTCAGCACCTTATGCTTACTGTTTACATGGTACATACACTGTCCTCTATCTGTTCACTTCCAGCTTATCTGTGTCTTTAATGTGTCTTTCTTATAAACTAATAGACAGCATGTACTAGGGTCTTGCTTTTTCACCTATTCTCTGCCTTTTAATTGGAGTATATAAACCAATTAACATTTATTGAGTTATGGAAATGATTAAATTTAAGCTACGATTAAGTTTTTCTGTTTATCCCATTTGTTTCTGTTTTTATTTTTGTTTTGCTTTTTATTTCTTCTTTTTTTTATTTGAATGTTTATTAGTGTTCCATTTCAGTTTACTTATTGGCTCTCTGCTTCTGTGTCTTTGCATTACTTGTTATTGGTTGCTCTAGGGATTACAACAGGCTTAGTGTCTAACCATTGACAGTCTGCTTAGAGTTAACTTCATGCCATTTCACATAATATATAGAAACCTTGCAATCATATAAATCCCTTTTTCCTAGTCTTTTTTGTTCTAGTTGACAAATGTGTTACATTTGCGTACATTGAAAACTACCAGATATTATAACTTTTAAATCAGTTGTATATATATTTTATATATATGTGTCTATATTATATATATATGTATATGTATGTTTAAGGAATGTAAGAGGAAAAAACAGACTTTTATTTCTACTCAACTATTCTTTCTGTTGCTTTCTTCATTTCTTAAAGATATAAATTCCTTCTTAACATTTCCTTTTAGCCTAAGAACTTTCTTGAATATTCTTTTAGAACAGATATGCTGATGAATTATTAGTCTCTCTTCTTCTGAAAAGGTGTTTGTTTTGCTTTTTTCTCCTGAAGGATATTTTAGGTGAAGTTCTTTTCTTTCAGTACTTTAAGTCTAGATATTATTTCATTGAGTTCTCGTTTTTACGATTTATAATAAATCTGTAGCCACTGAAATCATTATTCCTCATGTGTACTGTATTGGTTTTTACTGGATGCTTTCAAGATTTTTTTTATCCTTGACTGTTAGTACTCTGGTTTTGATGTGTCTAGGCATGATTTTTCTCTGAATTTATCCTATTTGAGATTTGTTGAGCTTCTGAAATTTGTAAAATATATGTCTTTCACCAGATTTTAGCAGTTTGGGGCCACTGTTTCTTCAAATACATTTTTTTTTTTTTTGCCTCGATATCTTTTTCGTCTCCTCTGGCATCCAAATTACACATTTATTTCCCAGGTCCCTCAGGTTCCATTTATATCTTTTCAATCTTTTTTTTCTTTGTTGCTCAGATTTTATAATTTCCATTGATCTATCTTCAAGTTCATTGACTTTTTTCTCTGTCTTCTCCATTCTGCTACCTAGCCCATCTAGCAACTTGTTTGTTAGATATTGTATATTTCCATTCTAACATTTCCATTTGATTCTCCTTTATAGTTTCTATTTCTCTGAGAATTTATATTTCCATTCATTTCAGATGTGTTTTCCTTTACCTTATAAAACACAGTTATAAACACATAAGTTCTTAAATTCTTAAATTCTTTGGTAGTTCTAACTTCTGGGTCATTCAGAGTTGCCATCTACCATTTTCCCCTTGAGAATTGGTCATAATTTTTTGGTTCTTTTATATTAAATGATTTTAAATTGCATTCTGGATGTTATGAATGCAGTATTGTATCAACTCTAGGTCCTGCTTACAGTGGAGCAGAAAATACAGGATTAACTTAAAAACAAAAACCCTGAGGAGTTGCAGTGCCAACATGGCAAGTGAAAACCTGGATATAGCCCATCCTTACTGCTGATTACAGCTAAAAACTCTGGGCCCGAGATAGTGGTCGGAGCACTTTGAAAATGAGTAAAGCAGGAAGATGGTGGAGGGGAGTCAACATTCCGGAGAATGTTTTCATTTTAGCAAGTCTGTTCATACTGTAAGTTCATACCGTAAGTTCATACCGTAAGTTCATACCGTAAGTTCTGTCTCATTTTCTGTGAGTTGTGGTTTCAATCTCAGTTCAGTTCTCTTAAGTTTTTGCTACACTGATTTGGGTCTTCCCTGTCACATGTGGTTCAGGGGTGAGTCTGATAGTTGTGTGCATAGTTCAAATCTCAGCTCTTTCTCTAAGCCTTTTCTACATTGGTTTGGGGGTGTTCTGTGCTGCTGTTATTCACGGGTTAGGCTGAGACTTGTGTATTCTAATCTCAGTTCACATATGAAAATATTGCTGTGTTACCTTGAGTCTGAACTGCAAATGTATAGCTCAGGGGTTATTCTTCAGCTAGTTTTGGTTCCTTCACAGCTTTAGAGTATCTTCTTCACCCAGTCTTCCTGGATTACCTCCACGCTCTTCAATTTGTAAGGGCTTTTTAAAAGTTTTTTCTTGGTTCTTTTCACCAAAAAGGGCTCCTACTGGAATTTAGTCACACAGAACAGCATGATGCTCTGCAAATGTTCCCACCCTCAGGGCAAAGCTAAGAAGAAATAAAAGTTAAAACTCTACCCCATGCAGGTTGATTCCTCTCCACAGTCTACCTGCTTTTTATTTATTTTCAGAGTGCTGAGATAGTTGTATGGGCCCAGAGTTTTTAGCTGAAATCTGCAGGAAGGATGGGCTATGGTCAGTTTTTTGCTTGCCCTATCAGCATGCAACTCCTTAGGTTTGGTTATGTTTTTACAGTTAATCCTGTATTTTCTGCTCCATTATAACTTAGTAGCAGATAGGCAACATTAATGAACATTTGGAAGTTCAGTAGTATTCTAAGAAGGTGTTTATAATTTTGCAAAGGAGGAATGAATAGCATTTAGTCTTCGAATTCAGTCAATTAGTAAAACAAAACATTGATGGCATACTTACTATGTGCTGTGTATGGAGGACAGTAAAATAATTTCAGAGTTTACCTTACAACCTAGTAGGCATTAGGCTTGCTTCAATGAATAACGATCAGTAAATATGGTAATAAGCATATTATCTGCAAAAGACAGGAGTTTTTCCTCAAGGGTTAAAATACTATTTTTACTTAACTAACATTATAACCTTCAAAGTAATGAGTAGCACAGACACAATGCAATTTAATCTTGAATCCATATTCAAATCAGTGTTGTACTTTCATATCGGTAGAGAAAATCTGAATGACACTTTATTTAATCAATTTGTTTTTTTCTAAGTTTTTAAATCTGGTTTATGAAAAACACATTATTTTTTATTTAAAGATTTTATTTGGGAGAGAGCGTGAGCACAAGCAGGGTGAGGGGCAGAGGGAGAAGCAGGCTCTCTGCTGAGCAGGGAGCCTGATGCAGGGCTTGATCCCGGGACTCTGGGATCATGACCTGAGCCGAAGGCAGACGTTTAACCTACTGAGCCACCCAGATGCCCTGAAAAATACTTTAATACATGATGATTTCTTTTTTAGTGTCCTCCTTAGGGTAGCTGATGTAAACTTTTGTAAACTCTTTTTAATTAAATCGCAGACACGACCAGAGCAAGAAGAAGCCAGGAGAGTGATGGTGTGGAATATATTTTCATTTCCAAGCATTTGTTCGAGACAGATGTACAAAATAACAAGTATGTGGCGGTTTTTTGTGTGACTCTTGTTTTTAAGCCTGTGCCTCTGTATCCAGTTTCCAGGGAACTGAGGGTTCCCTTCCGTTTGAAATAAATTTTAAGTTTTATAATATCTGAAATGGATAAAAAGGTGATAATTCAGTTAGTAGGTGTTATCAGTCTTCACCTGTAATTTTTTAATAACCTAGAGCTGCTATGTTTCTGGTAAGTTCAATGGGTAGGAATTATTTTGAAGGATGAGGGAATGTTGCTCATATATTATTGTGACCTCTTTCCACCCCACTCATTGAATCTTAACATAGAATTTGAATAGAATTTTCTTTAAAAAACTAACAACAATGTAATAGATCCCTAGTTCGACCATCTCTCCTGCATGCACCTCTCACCCTCATTGGCTCTTCAAAAAATTAAAATACTGTTCATCACCTTGCTTGTACCACGTCCCCTGGCCAGCTCTAACCCTCCCCCCCAACCTCCCCAGGTCCTCCATTTGCTTCAGCGTGAATATTTTAGGGTATCAGGAAGCAATGTGTGTTTTAATGTGAGATTTGGGGATTTTATTGAAACATCAAAATGCTTTTTTCCACGTTTGGCACAGCGATTGTGTTTTTATAGCACGTAATCGGCTGCCCTGCTTCCATTAGCCACCAGGCAGTCCCTCCTGTCGTTCTAAAGCTGAGCGTGGTTATTCTGTAGCGTGCAGTGAAATTTCAGTAGTTTCTATTGTTTGGCTTATTCACTGCTTTATTGCATTGCATTAGTTCTGAAAAAGAGGTGATGGAAAACAGAGTACTGCTGGCCTGAAGTACTTTTTTTCTGCTTAAGTGTAATACAAGCAAGTGTTACTGATTTGAAAATGTAAAATACAAGATTTTTAAAAATTGACATTCTGGAGGACTTGGCCCTACTTATTTTATTGAACACAGTAAAAAAAAAAAATTACATGTTCAGCAAAAATCTTTTCTATATTTGAATTATGTCTTCCCACTTATATCTATAATTAATTCACAAATGGCTCTGATTTAGATCTGATTTCCTACAGGTTTATTGAATACGGTGAATATAAAAACAACTACTACGGGACGAGTATAGACTCCGTGCGGTCTGTCCTAGCTAAAAACAAAGTTTGTTTGTTGGATGTTCAGCCTCATGTAAGTGAACAATGAACTATTCAGTACCATTCTGGCCCATGTGAGCTACCACACTCCATGTGAACCTTTCAATCTGGGGGTAAATCTGAAGGCTGCTCACTTTGGGCATATCTGTGGCTTTCCTAATGACAAAAGCATTTAAATGTAATTTGAGAAGTCTCTGGTGAGAGGAAAATAAAAAAGGCCCATAATATTAGAAAAGAGGAGTTAGGGGAAGCCACAAGATCTGTTTGTAACTCTTGTTTATATTCTGTGTTAGCCAAGTACAAGACTCTTAGATATTTCTTCTGTGTAAAATACGGTGCTACGTGTATAATGGATTTTTAAGTGTTAAGTCTGATTATAAGTGTTTGTAATTTTTACAATGGACACTTTGGTTCTTGGCCTTCTTTTGAGTCTCTACATATCCTAGAAGCGTACACCCCGTACATAGAGCTGTGGGGCATTTCACAGGAATTGAACTGAATGAGATCCTTCCTGCGGCTGTCAGCTGAATCCTTGCTGGCAGCCGGGGAACGCTTAGGAACACTTTGGACCGAGGATGCCAGTGGATGAAGCCGTTCCGTTCTTACTGAACCACATCTCCTCCAGCAGAGACCCTACCCATAGCGTTTTCCTTGTTACCCAGGGGCCACAGAGTCTCGCTCCACTGATGGGTACACATCCTCCAAGAGTGAGTGGCCTGGAGAAGCCCTTCATTCTTCTTCAGGAAGATGAATCTGGAGTCAAAGCGCCCCAAGAATCAGTAGGGCAGCTGACCCCTTCACGTAGGCACCGGCGATGAGTAGACTACTCCTGCTTGTGTAGCCAGCTCTGTGCCAGGGCCCTGGGTCTAGTCGTGTCCAGCTCTGTCAGTGCAGGTCCAGCTCTCCGTCCGAGAGCCTCACTAGCCCTCCAGACGTATGGATCCTCCAGCTGCACCCCCACACCCCACCATAACCTCTCAGGGGAGTTTGTGGTCTGTACTCACGTTCTGAGGAGGCCCTGACACACAGGTCAAGAGGCTCCCTCCACTCCCACCCCTAGACTGTAGACGAGTCCTCAGAAGCATAGCGGAAATAATGTAAGATATTTTGATGGGAGAATGTTGACAAGCTTCATGGAAAGCGGAAGTCTTGCCCACAGAACGGCAAATGAGACAGACAGAATGACAGACTCCTGTTTGAGATCAGGAAGAGGCTTAGGTGGGATGGTTGGAAAACTTTCATGTGCAGACACTTAACGCATAGCATCTTTTGAGTATTTGATTTAAAAATCAGTTTTGTGATATTTTTAGCTGCTTCTGTCCAATATGAATTATGACATTTTTCAAAACATTTTAAAAGGCAAGTTATATTCTCCAACATTTTTTAGGGGTATATAATTACGACATTTAATTATGACATTTAACTGATTGAATAATATATTGAAAGAGCTACTGGCCTTAATTAGATAATTTTAAGGAATTTTCTCCTTTGAAAGAAACTTTGGTTTACTGTAAAATTCACTCATGACATTATGAAGAAATAAAAGAAGACTTATTTTCTTCCTTGCAGACAGTGAAGCATTTAAGGACCCTAGAATTTAAGCCCTATGTGATATTTATAAAGCCTCCATCAATAGAGCGTTTGAGGGAGACAAGAAAAAATGCAAAGATTATTTCAAGCAGAGATGACCAAGGTGCTGCAAAGCCTTTTACAGTAAGTACAGTGATGCTCAGTATGAAGATGTAAGTGGTACTTGAAATCATACATGTGGGAGCCACTACTTTCGGAAGACATGGTGTAGTAGATGCTGTGATCCAAAACCCGATAAAAGACAGAATTGTATTTGGGTACAGACATTTTGAGTGATTGCGCTGTACTGGCTTTCTGTGCTTCTATGAATAGATCTTCAAATTATATTGACTGAACTATCCCTGTAATAATAAGTGAATGAGTGACAATCCTGAAATTCACGAAAGGTGGGAACTTTGATTCTGTGCAAGCAGTTGAGCAGATCCGAGAGAGAACATCAGAAGGTATGACGTCTGAAGAACTTGCAGTTCAAGAGGGTCATTTTCATTTGTGGCTGAAAGAATAAACACAGAATAGCATTTGATAAACCAGTTGTGGAAATGTCTGCGTCCATGTAAAGTGATGTAATTGCCTGGTTAACCAAAGTTTTTTTAATTCTTCCTTTTGCAGGAAGAAGACTTTCAGGAAATGATTAAATCTGCACAGATAATGGAAAATCAGTATGGTCATCTTTTTGACAAAATTATAGTAAATGATGACCTTACCGTGGCATTCAATGAGCTAAAAACAACTTTTGACAAATTAGAGACAGAAGCCCACTGGGTTCCAGTGAGCTGGTTACATTCATAACTAAGGGAAATTCCCACAATCATCTTTTTTGTAGAGTGCATGATGAAATCAGTTACCGTTCTGGTGGTAGGGCTTTTTAATCTATATCACTGTTGTAGATGTGCAGTCTTGCTTAAAACTGAATGTTGGTTTTGTTTGTATCTTTATCCAGCCTTACTTCAAACACAATATTTGAGTAGAAGATCCAAAATCAAAATTTGCACAGTACTGTATTTTGAGCAGAGCTTTGAACCTTTTGGTTGTCTTTAATATACAGCTGTATCTCCAAGATGAGGTTGGACTTTTTAGAGAGAAACAGCTAGGGAATTGATACTGGAGTTCAGTGCTTCAGCAGGCCTCAGACGTGGTCCCTCCATCAAGTTTGTACGTTAACAGTTGAAGGTACTAACTTAGCAGCCTTGAGCAGCTCCAGGCAAACAGGACAGCTTTGCTGTTCTTTGGATGGGTCACTATAGGTTCACCTAGGCTGACAATAAGGTGTCCTCTTGCTATTCTAAAAGTGCAACCTTTTTCTTACATATATACAATATAGTCAGAGTGTATTTAAAAATCTTTCTTAAAGGAATTACGACACATTTGCCTTAGTGAGTGGCCTGCATGTTATAGCTTGAGACAACCTCTTAGGACTACATATCAGTGACTCGAGTATTTAATGAGGGGAAGATACGACTTTTAAAAATGATTGTATATGTAACTAAAAGCCCTTCCTTATGGTATTAGTCTTTGTAAGGTTGGTGATATCTTGGGGCAAGTAATGATTACGAAGGACATTTTTATTTGTAAATCCTCAGACAGGATTTCCAGAGTCACTATCCAATAAGTTATAAGAATGTGATTCCTATTCTCAAAGTAGATGTTTTACATGTTACTGATACAGTTAAAATGTGATCATTTTTCACATGTGCAATTGATCATATACTTAAATTGCACTAAAATGTATTTTAGAAAAACTTTTCGTATAATGTTAACTTACCTCTTCATCATCAAAATAATTCTTAACACTGGTCAGGTACCATCCTAATCTTACCATTTTTAAAGAATCTTAAGAAAGACTCTTGTAAATAATTTAGATGGGCTCTCATTTTTCTTTGTTACTACTGAACTTCAGCATACTAGAAAGGGCCATAAGTTGTTTAAGAGAACATGTCTTGCCATTCTTGCATGCAGTAAGACCCTGCCAATCAAAAATCATCACATCTATGACTTTCAAACAGAAGATATTTTTTGTTGATTTGTAAAGAGAGTTTAGATGTCATAAGAAAAATAGAACGTAGTGAAATTTTATATATTTATGAAATCTTTGAAAGGCGTATTTTTTTAATTATCAAATGGAGCTATTCATAAAATAAATTGTATGTAAAGATGTCATAATTTAAAAGAGTAGTTTTATAAGTCAGGGTCAACATTCCATGTAAATATTTGACCTTTGTTCGTACACAGATAGCCCACGAGTGTTATATGTGCACTGTGCACTTGGTAGCATTTTCCACTGGATTTCCTTCAGACGCGTCAAATTTCATATTAGAAACAGAGACAAAAACTGCTGTAATGGTATTGATACACACTCTCACTAAAACAATCAGACCAGATGTTACTTAACATGATCCAGACAGTGAGTTCTAAGTTTATAAAGTCAATAGCAAGCCATCTAGATTTTTAAAGGAGTGGGGAAGAGGGCTGCCGTACTTTAAAGTTGTATGGCTGCTCTAAGAAAATACAAGTCTTACACAGAGAGTTTGGGTAGAATAGACTCCTCCTTGAACTCTAAGATCTCCTATAAATCAAAGCTTCCTGTACAAGGAGTAATGGGAAACGTGTAATTATCTAGGCAATTGTCTGAATAATTTAATTTAGGCAGTCCAACCAAATTCTTTACTGTGGGGGTAGAAGGTAGTGTAATGTGGTGGAAACAGAGTCCTTCTGGCTGTTGGTGGCGATGGGGTGTTATTTAAAAATATAACTGTCCAGGGGCGCCTGGGTGGCTCAGTCGTTGAGCGTCTGCCTTCGGCTCGGGTCGTGATCCCAGGGTCCTGGGATCGAGCCCCACGTTGGGCTCCCTGCTCAGCAGGGAACCTGTTTCTCCCTCTCCCACTCCCCCTGTTTGTGTTCCCTCTCTTGCTGTGTGTCTCTCTCTGTCAAATAAATAAATAAAAATCTTAAAAAAAAATATATATATATATATAACTGTCCAGACCTTTCTCCCTTTTCACACTAGAATTTTTTGTTTGTTTGTTTGTTTTTAATGAAAAGGGGCACCCTGGCAATTTGAGAAATGTTTTATTAGGTACATGGCTTTGCAAGTGATGTTTACATAGCCATTTTGATATTTAGAGATTAGGTTAAAACTGAGTAAGGCAGTGCCAAGGGCTCGTTGATAACTGTTGCGGAAGGCCCTGGACTCTTGTGTCTGCACCCAGACCACCTCCAGCAAGGAGACGTGCCCGGCGCTCCTCACTGTACTAGTTCAGCCGGCTCCCAAGACAGTGTCAGCCACTGTTGCAGAGAAGAGGAATGTTTATAGTTTTAAGTCCGTATATTTAAAATCCGAGATCAGGAAATTCTATATTCCCGTGATTACCAAATTAGAGTCAGTTAAAAATAAAAAGGTGAAATTGAAGTATTTTTTTCCTGTTGCTTTACTTACATAGATGTTCTTAATATCTTTAAGGCTGACATTCCTGGTATTGTATAATGATTGAATGTATCTAAATTGTAATAATTTAAAATTAACAAACCTGTAATCTTCATAGATTTACAAAACTGTTATTAAAAGCTGCTTGAAGATCTGGATTTCTGTTATTTTCTTTTTGACTAGTAAGGATTTCTAAATAAATGTAATGGAAAACCTTTGATCTTAATAAAGTATCTTCAAATCTGTTCTTGCGCTTGGGTATTTAGGATATTGTTTCCCATGGTGGATCAAATTCTGTTTTCTACTCTGATGCCACGTGGTTCCTTTGAACTTGCCATGTCTAAAATTAAACTTCATGTTTAACAGGGTTGTTTGAGAGATGGAACTCACTAGTCCTGCTCCTCCCCACACAGTGCAGCCATTTAAAGATACGGAGAAATAAAGGGGGGTGGACGATCGGGGCCCATCTGTGATGGGATCGTCCCTTCTCCTGCTCCTCGCCATCAGGAACTAGAGCATTATCCACATCCTGTTCCTGAATTCCAGTCAGGCAAAACGAAACTTTTTTATTTAGCTGTACATGAGGACAAACTGCCACCTGCTTAGATACACAAGCTAACTAGCAGTGGCCTTGCTTCAACAGTTGGGCCAGTTAGCCCCAGCTGTGCTTCCATGGAAAGACTGTACAGGATAGCAGTTGGAGCGCGGGATCTGGAGCCACACCTCCGGAGTTCAGGCTCTGGTTTTGCCTATTACCAGCTTTGCAACCTTGACACAGTCCTTTAGCCTCTCTGATCAGGTCATAATTCTGCTTACCTCATGGGATCGTTGTGGGCATGGAAGAGCTGATTCACGTAAAGTACTTGGAACAAAACCTGGGAAAGAAATATTCAATAACTGTGAACTCCTGTGTCATAGCGATTATTCTCACATCACACAATTTTAAAATAGCTCTATAATCACCCCATATAAACAGTTCTCCATTAGCAAATTCACTGGAAGTTTCCTAATAATTTCTATGATGGTTTTATTATGTAAAAAACATCCATTACTTCCAAGTGATACATCAGGACCTAATTAAGTAATCCTATATAGGGAAGTGAACGGATTTTTATTTTTAGCCACTGGTATGTAATAGAACTATCAATTTGAAAGAAATGTCCCTTAATTGTATTAATGCCCTTTCTTCTGCTGCCACACTTCCTTTCCAAAGGAGAAGGAGCAAGCATCCTTACCCTCAAGCTCCCAGAGGGCAGGGAGTATTTTTTTGAAACCGCTGTCTTATACACACACTCTGACGCTGGACCAACAACTGCCGACCAAACTGTACTTATGACATCTGTATGATTTCCATTCACTATCTCATCTAATAAAATAGCAACCACACTATTTTCACTGCATTGTGCTTCCCAGTGTTGCTATAACTTGAGCCAGAGCTGGAAACATGAGATCTGGTAATTTGGAGAGGGTTTACCCTTTTTATGCATGCACAGTTTATAATTTTCTCAAAAAGCTGTTGCATTAAGTCAGAACTTGTTGCACCTATGCCTATAAGAACTGGTTAATCCACAAAAAGTGCCTATTATCAGAAGCAGACTTGTATAGCATAATATGCAATTTTGTTTAGTCCGCCTGAGTCCTGGTCCTTAGTGATGAATCAAGACAATTTGCACTTTGCAGGGATTAGTCTGAGTTGGTCGTGCTACCCAATTCCAGGTAATGTCTGTTGGAGAAGCTGTGAATAAGAGTTGTTCCTCTGATTTGCTTTATCAAAGATTAAACATCTGCGTGAGGTAAGAGATCTTTTATGCCTTTGTTGTTTGAGATACTTCAATTATTTTGTGATGTTTGCCAATATGACAGCCATAATCCCAACCTTAAACCAGAGGATAATAAAGGTCAATCTGTGGAATGCCCGAGTAGAAAAAAGAAAAAATCCTAAATCCATATTATCGAGCTGTTGAACTGATCCTGGGACCTCCTTCCACTAATTGCTGAATACACAATAAAGGTTCTCATGGACTGTTGATGGAAATGTACATTGGTACAGCCACTGTGGAAAACAACAACTATGGAGGTTCCTCAAACGGTTAAAAACAGAACTGCATTATGATCCAGCAATACCACTTCTAGGTATATATCTGAAAGAAATGAAATCACTATCTCAAAGAGATATCTGTACTCCCATGTTCATTGCAGCATTACTCATAATAGGCAAGACAAGGAAACAACTTAAGTGTCCATCAACAGATGAATGGATAAAGAATGGATATATACACACACCAATATTATTCAGCTATGAGAAAGAAGGAGATTCTGCATTTTGCAACATGGATGGATTTTGAGGGTCTTATACTAAATGGAATAAGTCAGAGAAAGGCAATAACTATGTTCTCATTTATATATGTATTCTGAAAAAGGCAAACTCAGAACGTAGGACGGTCATTGCCCGGGGCTGGAGGGTAGGGGAAATGGGGAGATGCTGGTCAAGGGTACAAACTTCCAGTTACAAGAGAAATAAATTCTGGGGCTCAAATGTCCAACATACTGACTATAGCTAACAACTTTCAAGTACATTATACAGTATAGGTAAGAGTAGATTTTATCACCACACACAGAAAAAAGGTAATTATATGAGGTCTTGGAAGTGTTAACTAACACTGTTGCAATCCTCTCACAATACATACGTGTATTAAATCATCACCTTGTACACCCTAAACTTACGCAATGTTACAGGTCAATTATACTTCAATAAAGCTGAAAAAATATAAATGTTCTGATGGTTTAAGTCACTGTTAGGCTGTTCACCTGGAAAGCAGCATCCATGAGTAACTCAGGCCTCTCTCACTCTTCCTTTCACTTACCAAAGGCGGTCTTTCTGCTCAGCTGTCAACAAGCCCTGGAGTGAGACACAGTGATTGAACTTGAAAACACTCTGGAACCATAAAAATCATATAATCATCTAAATAGATACAGAAAAGCACTTGATAAAATTCAACATCCATTCATGTTAAAAACTCCCAAGAAGCGGGTTTAGAGGGAACATACCTCAAAATGATAAAAGCCATATATGAAAAACCCACAACTAACGTCATAGTCAATGGTGAAAAACTAAGCACCTTTCCCCTGAGGTCAGGAGCAAAACAAAGATGTCCACTCTCACCACTTTTATTCAACTTAGTACTGGAAGTCCTAGCTTCCAGTAAAAACAAAAGGCATCCAAATTGGTAAGGAAGAAGTAAAACTCTATTTGCGGATGACGTGATACTATACATAGAAAACCCTAAACACTCCACAAAAAAACTATTAGAAATAATAAATGAATTCAATAAAGATGCAGGACACAAAATTAATACACAGAAATCACTTGTATTTCTAAACAGTAGTAACAAACTAGCAGAAAGAGATATTAAGACAATTCCATTTACAATTACACCAAAAAGAATAAAACACCTAGGTATAAACCTAACCAAGGAGTGAAAGACCTGTACCTGGAAAACTATAAAACATTGATGAAAGAAACTGAAGATGACACAAATGAAAAGAATATTGTTAAAATGTCCACACTACCCAAAGCAATCTACAGATTCAATGCAATCCCTATTGAAATACCAACAGCATTTTTTACAGAACTAGAAACAAATCATTTTATAGAACAAACTAGAGAGCCCAGAAATACACTCACACTTATATGGTTCACTAATCTACAACAAAACAGGCATGAATATACAATGGGAACAAAAGTCTCTTCAATATATGGGGTTGGGAAAACTGGACAGCTACATGCGAAAGAATGAAACTGAACCACTTTCTTATACATAAAAATAAACTCAAAATGAATTAAAGACCTAAATGTGAGATATGAAACCATAAAACTAAAAGAAAACATAGGCAGTAATTTCTTTGACATCAGTTTTAACAACATTTTTCTAGATAGGTCTCTTCAGGCAAGGGAAACGAAAGTAAAAATAAATTATTGGGACTATACCAAAATAAAAAGCTTTTGCACAGCAAAGAAAACCATCAACAAAACAAGAAGGCAACCTACGAAATGGGAGAAGATTATTTGCACATGATATATCTGATCAGGGGTTAATATCCAAAATAATATAAATAACTTATACAACTAAACACCAAAAACCCCACAAGTAATTCAATTAAAAATGGGCAGAGGACCTACATATAAATTTTTCCAAAGAAGACATACAGATGGCCAACAGACACATGACAAGATGCTCAACATCACTAATTATTAGAGAAATACCAATCAAAACCACAATGAGATATCACCTTACATCTGTAAGAATGGCCAGAATCAAAAAGACAAGAAATAACAAGTGTTGGCGAGGATATGGGGAAAAAGGAA